TGGGGGGGCGGGGGGGGGCACTGACAAACTAGATTATTTATAAAGGAAGTAAATATCCCGCCTGCAAATCAACTCACCCCATGTTACAGCATCATCATGATCTTCATCACTCCCAGCTCCAAACACAAATAAAAGAATTCTAAGACCTCTACCCCATCCCCACAAATCACCAGAAAAGCCCAGGAATATAGCCCGGCTTTCCCTTTGTCCCGGTTCTCCCTGACTTGATAAATCATTTGCAGTTCAAAAATGAAGGTAGAGTAACAGGCAAAGTAAAAGCATGGTTCTGAAAAACTGCCTGAAATAGCTAAAATTTTGGACACATACACATAAATAGAAACATATATATGTACACATACACATAAATATAAACATATATATATATATATTAGCATAGTCTTAGGGGATCTGCAAACACTTGAACGCTCCTGAATCTTCACATGCCTGGGTTGCACTGCTCATGCTTCCTGCCCTCGCTCTTGCACCAGGCGTTTTATTCGAGACAGGTGGGCTCTCCGAGTTACAGACGCCCATCAGCTTGAGCGAGGGGCTGCAGAGCATAACCTGAGAGAAACGGCATTCCTGAATCCACACGATTTCCTCCGGGAATAGAAAAACATATCTCATACCGGAATTACGGTAAGACTGAACCATGCTCATGACACACAGGGCAACTTTAGCCTTGCCTTTAAAAGAGTATCATTTCATCTGAAAGAGGACATCACATTTCATTTTGTACTATTAAAAACTTGCATTGCACAGTGAAACTAATTGCCCTGTGAATCACCCTGCTTCCCAAGACGGCTGGACTAGCGTACAGTTAATAACATGAGCTCGCCTGGCGAACATCTCACCAACAGCCACATGAGGATCCACTACAGCATGGACGGCCTCTGGCCGGTACTTTTAGACTACACCACTCCTCTAGTCAACGTTACTTCCTCACTGCAATCACATAAGAAATTGTTGCAAGAGGCTGAAAACTTTAAGTAAAATTACAATCTACATTCCACCCCTCGGATATCACTATAGATGCCAACGTTTTCTTTTGTCTAAAAGACGTGTTATCTTTACAAGCTTTTCCATTTATCAAAAATATATTCACGGTCAACAGTAACCACTTGCTGTTTTATTAATTGCCAATAAACAAGCTCACCGCCTCTATCATTAACCACCAGAAAAGGGTGTTGTCTAACTCTGGATTCTGCTTACATTTGATATGAAATCAGGAGTGTTTCTTCCATATCCATTTAAATTATTGTAAGGCCTCTTTCTAACATGACACAAATTACAGGGAAATCAAAACTGCTGTCAAGACAACTAAAGGCATTCGGCTCTTGCAACTTGTGTTCCTTCCATACTTGCAAAGATGTTTCACAGGCTTGAGAAAACAAAAGAAAGCAAACAGTACACGCGGAAATAAATACCCCAAGAAAAGAACACTTCCCCGCATGCATTTATCTCAAGATTCCTTTCATCTGAAAACGACTCTAGACTTCCTATTTAAAGCTAACCGAGAAACCACCCAGAGCCATCTGCCTCTTCGATCCGTCCCCAGCCCCTCTCTGGCTGTTCTCACGAACCTTTGAATATCAGATAGATGCCCTTCGATGCTGCTACCGGATGGAGCTCACAGAAGGAAAGCATAACTTCAGGGCGGAGGAAAGGCGATTCAGTCCTGATCCGTGGCTTCTTGCTCAGCGAAGGGGCTTTGCCTCCTCCCCTGGCAGCAAGTTGCAGCGTTTACAGGGAGCATGCACAGCTCCTACGGCGCTCCTCTGAGAGCCCAGCTCTAAGCCTCAGCATGTTTTCTGGAAATGCAGGCGGCTCCGCTGAAAACCTAAGGGAGGCTCCCACCGGGGCACCCAACTCAGCCGCACACATATTTAACAGCTCCCAGACCTCTCGCGGTTTAAAATAATCTGCCTGCCGTGCCAGGCTGCCCTAGCTGGACGCGAGGCTGGGGCGGCGCGGAGGCTGCGCGCCCCCCGCACGCCCGCACGGCTCGCCCCTTTGCGCCTCGCAACCAGGGCGCAGCCCGAGCGCTCGGCGACACGCAGGTACCACTAGGCTTCCCCGGCACGGGTGGCCGAGGAACTTTGTTTTACATCCCATTAAGTTAGCCCAGGACTTCCCGCGTCGCGTCATTTCTCCGTCCCTCGCCTGGCTAAAAAAGCCAACTTCATGCGGACAAATCGAGGCCAAGTTTATGCGCCCCCACCCCTCCCCGTCTCTCTCTGTCTCCAACTTAAAACTCATCCACGACTAATCAACACAAAGGAAGCTCCGAACGCTGCACCAGCCTGGTTGGTCCTCCAGATGCCCACTGGAGGTAGGTTGAACGTAACAGATTCTTGCGGTTTCAAGATTCTTTTTATTATTTTATTTTTTTAAGGGCTTGTCTGCACCGACCAAGCGCTGGGCACCCGCCCCCTCCCCCCCGCATTCCATCGCCAGAGTTAACACTCACCAAAATACATTATGTTTCTCATTAATCGGACCGCCGGCACCCCCGCGCAGCGCCTCCGGCATCA